AAGTCTCTTCCTTCACGAGATCACAAAATCATGAGTCAAAATCATGTCATTACACTAAATTTTATATTTCATGGATTTCAACAGATTTCACACAAACTTCAACGGATCTCATACATATTTCTCTGGATTTTACGAGATGTCACGGATTTCAAGCATACTTCTCAGATTTCATGTCAGACTTCAACAATAATGGACTACTATTTTTAATTATAATAAAATTCAACAAACCTAATTAATATTGGAATATTTGTTCATGATTTTATTTTAATAAAATGGCGACAAAAATCAGTTGTTTGGTATGTATCTCCTGTTCGGTTGCTTCCATCCAAAAAACTACCTATTACAAAAATGGTACTGGACTAAATCCTCTACAAGTTTTGTCTGAAACATTTTTTCCATTTTATATACAAATGGTTTCCATGATATTAAAGTGGGTCATATTTCTTAAAATTACAAATACAGCGCTCTTTCCTCAGGAAATTGCACTTATAATTTACGAATTATGTTGCAGATTTCTCCAAAAAGAGTTGGGAAGATGTCTTTTCTATAGATAACGCCTTTTTTCCTACTACTTTAATCTTCATTTTCCGCTTGTTATCGCAAACTGGAATCTTATTAATTCACTGAATGGTCGTAAAAAGCATACAAACATAAAGATTTTTAAGGATGAAGCTATGGTATCTGACTCACAAGCTATTGATATGTTCACCTTTTATTTTTCACGTTTTTATGGCAGTGCTGGCAAATTGACCTGTAATAATAAAAGTATACCTTTCTCTTCCTTTGAGGACGATATTTTAGTGGGATGGTTGAAATCATCCTTATCTTGTGGAAGTGATGAAATAAGTAATAGATTATTAAAATTAGTTAACCGTTTAATTGCCAAACCATTATATTACATAATTAATTTAAGTTATCAAACTTGTGTTTTCCCATGTCGTTTGGAAGTTGATGCGACTGTTGAAACAGGGAGTCCCAAATGACGTTGTCAACTATAGGCCGATTAGCTTGCTTTAAAATTTGTCCAAAGTTTTTGAATCAGTAATTAATAAACAATTAATGAACTATTTAAAAAAGTTCAATATCATTATTACCAATCAGCATGGTTTTGTCTGCATAAATTACAATCGATCGACTGACACTGCTTTATGTGAGTATACAGCTGAAGCTGCTTACAAAAGTTGTACTACACGGCATGTTTAGGAACGAACTCGTTCCATTTTCAAGTGTATAGTAAAAAAGGTTTTTTTCAGATCAATACACATTAATTAAGGCAGTGTATAGTACAGTATTGTATAGTACTTACACATTGGTGTAAGATTAAACCTTTCGGTAGAACAAAAATTGAATTTGACTTTCGGTTTGACAATAAGCCAGGACTCAGATTTATGATAAATGAACAAAATTCAATTAGCATATTGTTATTTTGAGCATTTTCTGAAATATGAACTGTATTATGTTTCACGGTCTATACATATTTCATCTACATTTTTAAGACTAAATAACAGTCTTAAGACTAAATAACATGTCACGTTATTACGGCTGTGGTTATTTTACAATGGTAGCCCGAATACATCGTTTGTCTATTTCAAGACCCATAGGGCGTATGTATTTTATCTGTGCCCATATGGATAGCAAATTTACGTTGATACGGTACTTTTATCTAATACGGTTTCGGATTGTAAAGCGTTGTATTTGTTGGAGTGCCTGCCAATAACCTGAATTTTACTTATTTTTAAGTTCAGAAAATGTTAACTTACAAGTAGCGTTTTAAAGAATCGGTAAAAAACCAAAAAAATTGGGAACCGTGTCAAAAAGCACAATGGCCACATCTGATTCGAGAAAATCGTGTTCAGTTTTCAGGAATGCGAGGGTAAGAGCAGTCCAAAATGGTTGCAAGTTACAATGTTAAGTGAAACGATGTAGAAAAATCACTCAACTGATTTATTGTGCAAATCACAGTCTTAGATTCCACGAAACATTCTTTTACAGTGCAAGGGTTTGCAGCCGTCCGGCAGTTGATTAGTCGCCTTCTACGACACGCAGTGACCCCTGCGGTAGGGGTATTCTTTCCCGCCCCTACACGGGTATAAATTACACATCGACAAGAAAAACCCAATGAAAATGGAGCGATATCCGTATCGAGAAATGCTTGCGAATAAATTATCGAACGTTATCTTCAACGTGTTTGAACTGCAATTTAAATTTAATTGTTGTTGCACATATTACAATGCGATATTGAGGCGAGACGCACGCAACGCAACTCATGGTCACTGCACGCACGCTTTGTGTTCTGTTGAAATTACTAAAAAAGAGAGAAAGAAAGCAAGAGATAGATAGAGGAGAAGGAGTTGAGAGAACAGAAAAAAAGTACAAAAGAAAATGTAAATAATAAGCATTTATTGCCACCAGTGGCATTTTAAGGTGAACATATTACTACATCATAATTTAATATGACAAACTTCAATTTCGAGTCTATCAGAAGGACACCTAGATCTTTCACCGATTCTACTATTACACATATTATTACACATACACAAATCGCGCTTATCAATTAGATCAACAAGACCCTGCAAACTTAAATGAATTTTTAGAAAAACGAGCAAGTAGCATGGCAGCATCAAATTCAGGTGATGTTGCTAATGCGGCCAAGTTTAAAACAATGGTCTCTGTAGCAACCAGCTCTACATAAACAAATATGAAAACTAATAAATTAAACAAATATAGCAAACGAGCTCCTGGGTATGGCTATAGCATGTGCAAAGCCAAATTTTAAACCTGATGTTAGTTTTGATTTTATTTAAAGTGTGTATTAATTGCTTCCATAAATAAGAAAATTGGCACTGCACATCATGCACAAAACCAAATTTGGAAAACGGCGCTACATTTGCTATTATTCCAAGTGGCTATGTATCAAATTTCATTTCTTTCGTTTATGAGTTATCGTGCTAACGGACGGACGGACGGACAGACACCGCAAAATTATAAACTCGCTAGGAGCTTGTTAATAAGCGTGAGATATCGCAATTCGAATGTGAATATTGCAACAGTAAAGGAAGTCATGAAATATATTGTATGAAATAAAAAAATTTCCCGGTACAAAAGAGATTAGAAGTTATTATTTTTTTTTATTATTAAAATTAATGTGTCTCAACATCAAAGGTCATTGACACAGGAACAATCAAGTATTAGCCATACATTTCTAAACTTAACCTAAGAGCTATACGCTAAATTTTGTCATAGATATTGATACTTTGGAGGAACTTGGTCGGTAGAGTTTAGAATTTCATTTAAGCTGTTCTTCAGTGTGTGGAAGCGTCGAGTATTTGCATGATGTTCGCAGTCGATAAGGATGTGTTTTATAGTCAGTGGATTGTTGCAGTGTTCACAGACTGGTGGAGGATCGGAGGTTAAGAGATGCATGTGAGTCAATCTTGTGTGTCCGATTCGCAGTCTTCGAATGATAATTTTACTTTTCCTGGACATGGGGGCAGCTTTAAATGGCTTTACTGTTGGATTGATCTCGTGAAGTTTTGAGTGAACACTGTTCCAGTGCGTCTGCCAGGTTTTGCGTATGTGGCTCTTATAGAACGCTTTTAAGTCTGTGGAAAGTTGGATCGAGTTTTGGAAGTATGCTAAGCGTTGTGTCGATAATAGGAATTGTTTTCCTCCATGGAGGGTCTATTGCAACTGGGTTGGGTAATGTTTTAGAAAGGTCTACATTAGCGAGAAGCGGCGGGAGCATTTCAGGGAGTGGGATNAAATTGTTCATTTTAAGCACCAGTTAACATCAAGACAAAATTTACCATTAGAATTGTCTGAAATTGCAACTCATGTTTGCACAAAAATTAGTAATGATTTGTTTGAAATATTCACAAAATTCTCAAATATAAACAAACTTAAGCGCATAATTGCATATTGTCGCAGATTTGCACGAAATATGAAACGCAATCAGACAAAACTAGTAGGGAACTTAACTGTAGAAGGGCCGAATGAGTCGTTCAAAATCATTTTACGAATTACCCAAGAGGTGAAGTTGGGCGTGGAACTGCATCAATTAAAATTTAAAAAGGAAATAAAGTCTAATGTTAAATCTCTAAATCCATTTATTGATGGGGAAGGTATAATACGGGTGGAAGGAAGCATCCTATCATTTTTCCAAATAAATCACATATTACGACGATAATATAATCGTCTGATTATATTATCGTCATAACATGAGCACGTTAGGTCGCTTCAGTTTGCGGGAAAGATTTTTATTAGTCAACAGTAATAGGGAAATTAAGAACGTATGTACTTCATAAATGCGTCACCGGTTTTAAATTAAAAGCTAAAAGGCTATGGAACAATTAATTGGATCGCTATCAACAGATAGAGTGGCTGAGGCTAGAGTGTTCCAGAAGGTGTGTGTTGATTTTGAAGGACCCTTTTATATAAAACAGATAACAGTCCGCAGATCAATAATAACGAGAGCCTATAATGCTTTATTTGTATGTTTCGTAACACATATCGACATTGTGTCAGATTTGACCACAGAAACTTTTATAGCCGCGGTAAAAAGATTTATAGGAAGAAGAGGTGTTCCATCAGTAATTTATAGCGATAGTGGGACAACATTTAAAGGTGCGAATAATGAATTAAGAGAATTATATCAATTATTTATGTCAAGAGATCATTGAAATAAGGTAGAAAATACCATAGCTAGCTTATAGTCCAGGCTAAATAGCTCTAATAGTATATTAAGTAATAAGGGATTAGAAAGAGTTTTTGTTCCTGAAAGAATGGTTTAATATTCTTGAGGGAACAAAAACTAGTTTAATCCAGTGTTACTTATACTATTTTTTCCAATACCGACCGATCTGAATCCATTTGAAAATTAAACATGCTATAAAAAAATATGAAAAAGTAAGGTAGGTTTTTTAGGATGTCATAGTTACGCTCGCTTGTTTGTAACTGTCAATAAAAATTAAGAATTTTTTATTTTAGTAAAATCATGCCTTAAACCCTTCTACAAATATTGAAGACGAAAGTGACGAAGCATATGAAGGCGCTTCTTTCATCCCCTAAGATGTCACTTGTTGATAAAGGTTAGTTTGTGTAAAACATTGCATGCTCATGCTTCCAAAGTTTGTGGTTGTAGATTGTGACAATTATGGATATTGGAGGAAGTTGCAGTTTGCAGATCAGAGGAATTGTTAAAAATGAACGTAGGCAACATAGAAGATGGAGAATCGATGCTGGTAGTTAGAATTCTAGATACAAAAACTAAAAGTCAAGAGTTTTTACCATTGTTGAGGCGGAGAAGAACTCAGTTATTTGGCATTATATAGGAAGATCTGGATGTACCACTAAGGCCCTTTATAAATTGTGCTTTTCATATTACCTGTTCTCAAAATAAAGAAAATGAATAGGTACTTTCTGAATGTTTTACAAGAAATCTGAGGGATTAAAATTACCTATTACTGCACAAAAATTGGGGATTAAATTCAATAAAAACGCGTCGGCATTGGAAAAAATAATTAATTTTCAAAAAAAATTAGTTACCGGGCGAAACCGGGTTTTTCATGCAGGTGAAATGAATAGAAATTGGGAAAAAATAATTAAAACAGCTGAATTTTTCCGCGGGTGAAATCACGGGGGTTGAAAGGGGTGGAAGTGGTGTTTTGCAAATTGTGGCAAAACTATTAATTTTAGACGAAAATGTTAAATGTAAAAATTATAGAGATTAAAAAAATGAGCAACTTTTGTATCTACACTATTTTCACATAACCTCCAATTTTCCTAGAAAAACCGGAAACATGGTTTTTTTCGTTTTTTATTCTTATTTTTGCGAAAAAATGTCGTAGGGGTTTGAAATTTGGAGGAAACATAGCTTGTTTTATGATAAAGAAGAAGATAATTTTTTGGTCCTGTAAAGTTGAACCGTTTCCAAGATCTCACGATTTCTGAAAAAAACGACCTATTTTTCAAGGGGACGAAAAATCTATTTTTTTCATCGTACAGAGGTGCGTGGGGTAGCAAAATTTTCGTAACGACTTACATTTTAATAATCAAAAATATTATTCCAATAGAAAAAGAAAAGCGGCAAAAACGTGGGGAACAGTTTTAAGGTATATTGTTTTTGACAGTAGGTAAAATAGCTTTTCTTGCAAATAAATTAACGTATTGGATCCGCGCCAATAAAAAGTTTTTGAAATCTGTCTTCTCTCCCCTCTTTAATGTTGCTAAAATATGTTCTTTTATTTCCCAGTGCCCAACTGCCTTAATTAAAACATCTTTATTATTTCTTTTTTCTGCATTTGGACCGCAATAAAAGCAATTCGAAGTAAAATCGCATTCTTTTGCTTCCCGAACAATTTGTTTTTGTTCAATAACTCTTCTTCCTGTCTGTTTTACATCTTATGGGATTAAGCTGGTCCTGTTGATCGTTTTATAGGATTTATGAATAAAACCCTCATAAAGTTTATTCCAGGTTTTACATCTCAAATCATTTGCTTTGGTCAATGGCCGGTAAAACTAACGTCCTTATTTCAGATTTTGCAAGTTTTCAACAGGCCCAACGCAATTGCATCAGCTATAAAACAGGCAGGAAGAAGAGTCAGTGAACAAAAAGAAATTGTTCAGGGATCAGGAAGCAAGATAATCCGATTTTATTTCGAATTGCTTTTATTGCTTTATAAAAGCAAAGCGTGCTGGAAAATTGTAAACAGTTTTCGAAATAATTTTCGCGGCCATTATAAATCTGATCAGATGCATAATGATACCGCAGAACAATTTAATGATTTCTTTATTAACATTGTTACAGAGATTGTAAATAAATCTACCATCAGCAGTAACTTGTTATTTACAAAGTACCTTGGCACAGCTACCGTTGATCAAACCTTTGGATTTGTAGAGGTGAGTCAAAATGCTATAAGAGATGCTCTTAGAAGCATAAAAGTTAAATACACTTCAGATGTCTTTGGTATCACCACTGCAGTAATGAAATCGGTAACAGACATTATTAGGTATAGGCCCATCAACTAAGTTAACAAATGAAATCATACAAACCGGATGTTTTCCTGACATTTTAAAACTGTGAAAAGTTATACCAATTCCAAAATGTGATCAAGCGATAGAACTAAACAAATTTCGACCCGTCTCCATTCTTCCTACTCTCTCGAAAGTGGTGGAAACTGTACTAAAAAATCAGATTTGTATGTATTTTGAAAAAAATTAACTATTCAATACTAACCAATTCGGATTTAGAGCAGGGATGTCTACCTCGTTGACCATCAATAATTTAATTGAAATGATTGTGGAAGGGTTCGAAGCAAATTTAAGCACCGTTTCAATCTTTTGTGATCTTCAAAAAGCTTTTGACTGCGTTACCTACGAAATTCTTGTAAATAGGTAAGCTTATTCACTACGGTGTACGATGAAAAAAAATAGATTTTTCAAACCCCTACGACATTTTTTCGCAAAAATAAGAATAAAAAACGAAAAAAACAGTTTTTCCGGTTTTTCTAAGAAAATTGGAGGTTATGTGAAAATAGTGTAGATACAAAAGTTGCTCATTTTTTTAATCTCTATAACTTTTACATTTAACATTTTCGTCTAAAATTAATAGTTTTGCCACAATATGCAAAACACCACTTTCCACCCCTTTCAACCCCCGTGATTTCACCCGCGGAAAGATTCAGCTGTTTTAATTATTTTTTCCCAAATTTCTATTCATTTCACCTGCCTGAAAACCCCGGTTTCATCCGCTAACTAATTTTTTTTGTCAAAAAATATTATATAGCATGGACTATTAGGGATTCAGTGGATTCATTCCCGCGTAGTCGCCTGTATTTAGGGGGCTATGAGAACCTGGAATAAAGTCAGCTAAACATTATCCATTGTGTCAACTTTCTAATGATATGATGATATAGATAATTTCATACAAAGTACGTGTTATTTTATGGAGTCGCAAATGAATGGGAGGTGTTGGTGACTATCATTTACAATTTAAAGCACTAATTTTAACAATTCGAAGCATCGAGACTGAGCAAGAATTGTGAAACAAAATTGGTACCACGATTTACGCTTCCTCTCTGTTTGCACTTTCGGAAAAATCTGTTTACCGTTACTTTTGTTTAGTTTTCTTCAGGATCGCTCGAACCTGTTCCTCGAAACGGAAACGAAAACTTACAAGCCTGTGGAAAAAAAATGTACCTATTGCGTGTCTACGCGAAGCACAACGGTTGCACATGTGCACAGAAAATAAACAATAAATTAGGGGAAATTACTATGAATGTTAAAAAATACCTCAGTGTTTAATAATTATCTTGCGAAAATAGGGTTTCAAAAACCTAAGAATGGTTATGGTCAATTAAGATAAATTAACTCATTTTTAGAGATAGGATAGCGATTAGACATCGAATAGAAAAGTAGGTATATTAAAATTGAGGAGGTTACTGATAATCCAATTGAACAGAAATTAAAATTGGCCAGTTATAACAGCGATAGTCTAAAATGCCACAAAAAATTGGGATGTGGACCAATTTTAAAAAGAGGCGCACTCTTCATTTTTCCCTGCATCAATTGGGATATCTGCCCAGTTAGTTAGACCGAAAATTCAGAAATTATGTTTCAAATCCGCCCACATTCGCATTATTTATTCCACCTAAAGAGGTATCAATTAATACCCTCCCACATTCCACACAACCTGTAACTGCCCATTTAAAGTTAATGAACGGCATCCACACCTAAGCGGCTTCGGTACTTATCGGCGCTAGTCATTATATGAGAAATAGCTTTTAAGCCTATCAAGTAATTAAGTTAGTAATTGCTTTTAGTGTTGTGAAAACGTCAGTTCTTTTTTCCTAGTAGCGTTTAATTGTGTCTACTCATTAAAAGGTTAAACATGCTAAAGGTTACAAGTAGATATTGTAAATTTTTATATGGTAGATACATAATTTAAGTTTTGTATACCGCTAACATTTACAATACATAATGAGTATATTTTATGTATAAATGTACAACCTCCTCATGCCTCAAATATTCAAAGTCGTGCAACATCCGGATATGGTAGAAAAAAACTAAATAATATAAAAGTATGTAACGTGGTTCCTCTATCCCAAAACAATTTTAACGCTCACACGGGATAGGGGGCCTATTGTAAAAAAAATGCTTGAGGTACAAATAAGAAAAGTTCCAATAGTGTTTCTTAAACTATTATGACGTAGAGGGTTGGAATATTTGATTAATTCGTATAGGCACCCAGGAACGCGTTACAGCTGGGACAGTAGTGATTCTTGTTTTTGCAGGAGTCCATAAAGTAGGGAATACAGCAGCATCTGAAACAAAGACGAATTTAGAAATGATGTGCGTGGTTTAGTAGTAGGTAGTAGTAGTAGAAACAGTGGCGCTTGGCAAGGTAAGTAGTAGAGAAGTGGCCCCATTTTCTGAGGATACCGAAAATAGCACTAGCGTTTGGCACCTGTTGATATAGTACTTTTTTCAATTCGAATGGCGAAAAATTCGTTCAGTAAGAAAATGGGCCAGCATTGACGTGGGCAAACGTTTTTTTTTTTAAATCCAAACTCTAACCTTCTGCTGGTTAGTTGCCAAGAAAGAAACGTGCGCGCAGCAACAATACTTTTTGGTTAAAAGCAGACCATCCATTTCTAAATTTAGATCCTGAAAGACTAAGATTTATAGCAACTTTTCTATTTCTTATAGTTTGATTACGTAACTCAGTTCTATAATTAAAATGAAGCTCCAATATAATGAAATAAGCATTCCGTTGCGACATGGTCTTGTCTATAGTAAACACGGTTAGTTAGCTGATTGTTTCAACATGATTTGGTATAATAATTGCAGCGCTGCTGGAAAGTACTTATCGCAAATTTATTATCGCTTTTAGTAAAGGAAATAGTAATATGGAAAACGTCTGCAAGGCCCGGAAATATTCGCCGAGCCCTAAGAACTAAACCGCTTTCTGGGCCGATACTCATTGAAACTGTACGAGATATTTATGTTCAGCAGGATTTGAAGATCAAATGACGACCCAATCGATAAGAAAAATCAGGGAAGAGAAATTGTCCGGATGAACCAGACGTTCAGACTTTTTGACGCAATACTCGTACTACTACTTAATAAACCCGCGCAAATGCGAGCTTTTGTACTACCCTGTCTCAGAGGATTCACCTACGAAGCCCAGAATTGAATTTTTAAGTTATGGATCGACTGATGGTTTGGTAGCAACCCTTTTCACCTTACTGCCCTGTAACTGCTAAGGAATTAACTTAACCAAACAAAAACCCTAAAAATACTTTCCACTTGCTTGGAATCTTTCAAATACCCGAAACTTTTGGAATCTCTGGAACATTTGGAAACACTTGAATCCTTTGGAATTTTTAGCAATTAGCATCTTTCCCTCTTCCGAATC